CCGAGGATGAGACCCTGATTATCGGATAGGCGAATTTTTGAATACACCCTTTTTTGATCGCCGCCAACGGGCGAGTCTCATTAAAAGTGTGGATGAGATAAGATGGACGGATTGTATGTCCTATCTATCTGTGTATGTGCTTGTGTGTGTGTGTTTTCTTCCCTTTTTTAGACAGAGCGGCCGTGTGTCTTGTCAAGATTAAGAGACCTGTGTTTTAATATGGACAAAAAATGAGCCTCTTCCTTCCTTTGTCCGTATCTTCCTGGATCTTGATCTTTCTCCATGGCAAACATACGAGCTCGGGAGTTCAGAGGATGTCCGATGGTCTCCTTGAGTACATATGTTCTTTATTTAGTGTATCACCTAGTCATGTTATTTCCTTTGTTCAACACTTGCTTGGTTCTCTTATGAAGGCAACAAATAACGTCAATGCTTCGCTATTTTGATATATGGTCGCTTTCCAGGCCAGACTTCTCAAATAGTAGTTATACACTAAATTCAATTCCAAGGTTATATCCAACTATTTATCTATTTTTCTCAATTGTATGTACAAGTATATAACCACCCAACAAAAAAGCCAAGTCATTATCAAAATGCCAAGACCAAACATGAGCGAAACATGGTGCGCTCTCGCTGGTAATGCAGTTATAACATGCTCGAATGAAATGATTTTTTCACCGAGATCCGATCAGGGCGAACAGTAGGCCCGTCATAGCTGCACCAGCTGCAGCACTCTGAAGAGCCACGGCGGTGAGATCGTATTGGGAGACAGCAATGCTGCGATCACTGAAGAACTCGCTAGCCACCTGCCTCCAGTACTCGACCGACAGAACCGGCAACGTAATGTTCGAGAGACGGGTCTTGAGAGACTGGGCGGCAGTAGCGTCGGTCACCGAGACAATAGACCCCGTAGTGGACGCATCTTTCTCCGTCGTAGTAATCTTCGGTTCAATCAAAAGAGAAGGAGCAGTCTCAATTATGTTCTCGTCGGTAGAATCAATAACTTCGGGGAGGATAGTGACATTCGACCGCGGCGTGATCGAAACAGCGTTCTCGGTAAACATAGCCCGGTTCGAGGCCTTCTCTTTCTCCAACGCTTCAACGACCTTATCCTCGAAACCCTGGACAAGTCGCTTGCGACGCCACGGCTCCACGAGGATCTGGAAAATAAGGAATAATAGGACGTTCATGCCCATCAAACCCCAAGTTCCCCATGTCGACATGCGGCGGATCTTGTCGGACCAGACTTGCTCCTCGTGGTATCGCGAGAGGATGCTCTTGCTCATTTGTGCGGCAGCCTCTTCAGCTTCGCGCTCTGCGGCCGATAGAGCGTGGGAGGTCTCGGTCTCGGCGACCTCGTTCGTGTGATCATTGCGGTAGAGGAGGGTGAATCGCTCCAGGTCTGTCGAGGACCAGGCGTGCTTGCGTTGGAGGAGCTCGTTTACTTCGCGTTGGGAGGTCGATCGGCGGTTAATCGCTGCGGCGTAGTCTTCTTTCGCTTGCTTGACATTCGCTCGGGCGGTGCGGAGTCGGTTCTCTGCATGATTTCGTGGGATTAGTCTTAGGTTTCGCGGGGTCGGGTTCGGGCATTGCTATGGTACATACCATAGAACTGGATATCTTTTTTCAATGCTTCGATGCTGGAGTATCCAGTCAGGTCATTTAAACGCTGACCTGCTACAAAAACATTGGATTGCAAATTGTCCATCACTGTGCTGAATTGCTTGGACCATTTTGACCGACGGCTTTCCAGATACGACGGCAGGCCTCCACTCCTCGTGCCAACACTGGCATCTTCTTCCTGTGAAACTGACTTCTCTTTTTCATGCTCCTTTGTTTGTGGTTTCGATTGTGCGGTACTTTGTTCGTCCTCCGCAGGAGGTACTGAATCAAGTGAGCTGCCCGACTCCAGACCCGGGATCGGGACAGGGTCGCGCGAGGCGAGCTCCAGCTCGGCTAGTTCTTTCTCTTTTTCCCTGATTAACCTCTCTGTATCCGCGGAGAACTTCTCTCGGTCATTGAGGGCCGAATATGTGCTCGGCTGTCGGCGGAATTGGCATTGTACACAGGCGGAGAAGCTCCGCGGAGTCGGTCTGACGGAGAATGCAGGTCGGAAGTGCGCTCGCACTGGGGAGGGGCTTGTGAGTCGGAGACTTGATCGGAGTGATTGCCTAAGCAGCTGTGGCATAGACTGCATGGCCAAAACAAAGGCCACAGGCTTGTGGCAGGAAGTGGTGGTGGTGTAAAGAGTGTCTGGGTGAGGATCAATTCGGGACGGAACTTGGCCTCGGATAGGCTTATCAGATTGCTGTAGGTCATTGTAGCAATTTTCTATGAATATAACCTTGGAATGTTTTAATTATGTACTATATAGTTGGCCAATCGCATTTAATGTTCCGATTAATTAGTGAAACGGGCTTTACAGGGTTACCCCTCTACCGAGAGACATCCATAGCTCCGATTGCCTACCTCGTCAATCTATTGCACCGGCGAACCCTTTTCCTCGAGGCTTTCTCAACTCTAAACCCATATCGAGCCCATCGTTAATCATAACAGCAGTCTGTCTTTCCAATATACGCCTTATGATCATAATGTCCTGCATAGTTGACCTCGGCGAGGATAAGAACACCCGAGGCGCTAAAACCTGAAGCTATCAGTATTTTCGACCATATGCGGAGGAACATACACACGAATGGTATGAATCAACATGAGTTTGTAAAACGTTATCCAAAGAAATATGAACTACCTGGCTATAAAGGCACAAATCCTTTGTCAGTCAAGCAACTTTCTAGAGTTTGTTTAATACTCATCTCGTGCCCTGGGCAATGTGACTTACCATCAATATTCAGTATCTCGTCCTTCTCTATCTTTTGACATCTCTCTTATTGATACTCCTATATATCATGTCATCTCTCGTTCTTAGCCGTACCCTGACAGGCATTTATATCATTTTATGGGACCTCGCGCTAAGACGTCAAGCCTATTTTGGGCCCCTTCAGTCTTGCTTCACATTATATATTCTTAACCCAGTGCGCATCCATCATACCACTATACCTATTACTGTGTCGTTCTATATACTCACACTTATGACTGTTCAGATGCTACAGGTTTGCCATCAGTATGTTATTCAGAATGAAAAGACCCCAAGAGGCTCCATGACTGACTTAGTATAGGTCATCCAAGTTCAAGACCTCGGGAGTCTCCGACAAAATGTCCTCCCAAAGCATCCCTAGGCCACAATCGTGATTCCAGGATTTTTGAATGCATGTTCGGCTGGCTAGCTCATACTTAAGACAACAAGAAGCGAACACAAGGTTGTCGATATTGCATCCTTCAAGCCCAAAAGTTGATATCCGGGCAACAAGTAAACACTCCCCACTTCTCCATGATACCGGTAAGTCCACGGCTGCCCTAGAAAGCCCTGTTCACGTAGCTCACAATCCTAGAGGTTATCTGTGGAATTTCCAGGAGAAGGGAATTGACTCCAATGAACCCTACGCGCCAATCGTCTCAGAGACCATGATCAAGGTTGTACTTACGCTAATCGCCGTGTACGAACTGAAGTGGAGATAAGTCGACTTTACGGCTGTGTACCTCAACACCTCGAAGACGCCGAGACGGTCTATATACGCCAACCCTCAAGTTTCGAGTATTTTGACGCCGAAGGCAGGCACTCTTTGGACTTCGAGACACCGTATACCTCTGGAACGAAGAAAGGGATAGCATCGGGTTCCGGCCTCTCGGGGACGATCCTTATGTCTAAATCAAAACAGGCGACAATTGCATGGACTTGACTAGGTATCATGATGATACACGTTGATCATCGCTGCACCCACTGAAAAGGAAATCGACCAGTTCGTTGACTAACTACGACAGCACTACGACATGAAGGAGCTAGGATAACCTAAACAGTCAGATAGGCTAGAGATCGTTCTGCCTTGGCTCACTTCGCTCGATGTTGGTGTACTTGAACTGCGCTCTGTCTTCCGCGACTACGAAGCAGGCACAATCACTATGTCTCAGGGTTACATGCCAGCTCGTAAGAATCTGAAATATAGCGTGGCTGGAAGGATCAATGTGAATCGCATCGGTAGGTCTGGCCTATACCGGAGCTTCTCAACGACGAAGTGCTGATGTTTTTGATGCCGTGAGCTCGATCATCGGCGGTCCTCTATTTGACCAACCATCTAGTCCCCGAACGCAAAGGCAAAGAACATGCTTTGTATCTGGCATATCAATATGTGCATCATGAAGAACGCCTGGCCGATTCTATCGGAACAGCTCGCTAAGGCTCAGCAGAAGCCCTCAATCCACCGCCTCCCAGGCTTCCCAGCGCAACACAAAGTCTCAGAAAGCAAAGGAATTACGCGAGAAGGTTGACAGTTTCACTGAGAGATGGACAGCCTTCCAGGACCGATACGCTGATCCAATCTTCCAATCCCTTCTGGGGTATATACAGTATGAGTGGCTATACGAGTGCCCAGAGAAGTTCGTACACATCCATACCTCACAATACCTTCATCTCAATAAGATAGCCACTTCCCGAACTGAGAGCACCCACTGGCTACTAAAGCAGGATCTCATTGTATTCACTAACGATTTGCTTGCGGTTTTCCAAAACTTCCAGTGCGTGGTAGAAGCTCAATTCAAGAAGATCTATATTAAGATTGAGAATAAACCTACAAGATAGGAGTTATCAAACCAAAAGCCCAGTTAGTACTAAGTGCCTCCGAGGCTTTAATAAAAAGTACTGGTATAGCATCCCGCAAATAACATACAATCAAAGAAGATACGCAAGCAATGAACAAAACCAAAACTCAGAATTACATAGAACGTTCCTTCGTCAAAGTCATAACATAACGATGCAGTTCTCAAGAAGTGCGTGTACAAAAACAGTGAAGCGGAAGGGCATGGACAACACAACCGGGTCGGGAAATAGGTGACCGATGAGACGATGGGAAGCCGAGGACGCCACCCAAGCAAAGCCAACGAGTCCGTGCTCACTCTCGTTCATTGCTCTGCAGCTTATTGTCACCCTTCACAGCCTCAGCATAAGTCGGTGGTGGGGGCGCACTGCTGCTCCCAGCATTTCCACTTGCTTCAGTCTGGTTGTGTGGTTTGTTCGCCGGACCAGGCGCCTGCTGGTCTTGAGTGTCGACTGTGCCATATCCGCGCTGGGGCTGTCGTGAGACGTAGTAGTAGGTAACGTTTCCGTTCTCCAGATCGCGCCGCCGACTCCCGCCTCCGGGGATGGGCTCGTAGGCTACATCGTCGTCGTATTGCTCCGGGTACTTGAGGATGATGTACCACGCGTGGATGAGACCCGGGAAGAAGCAGAGTAGGGTGAGAGTTATGTTGATGAACGAGTCTGCACTGCAGAACCCGGCCTTGACCCAGACTGTTGATGCGGGGGTTTGGTTAGCATTGGACCAAGTGTAGGTGTGTTGGCGTGCGGGTCTGCGGGTTTAAAAGTTACCTGCAATAGGTGGGAAAAAGACGGCGAGTACCGCTAGGAAAAGGTCGGAGCTGCACATGGCTCGCAGGGTCTCTGAGATCTGATAGAAAGTGTGAGTTGTTATCGAGTACACTGGGAATGTGTTGGCAATGGTTAAAGGTTTTCCACCGACGAGTCGCAGATTGTCTGACGGCAGCCTCCAGATCAGATGATGTCAATGGTCACATGACCTCTGTAATTCGTTGCCCTACATTGTACTCCGCCTGACTTTAGATGATATACACTTCCCTCTACTTGAAAGTAAGGTATAAGTATATTTACTAACTGTCTATAGGAACAGACTTGTCATATAACTATCTGCCCAAGCGGGGGGCATTGATTAACACATACGCTGTACTATGCTTGTAAGTACCTGGTACATGCAACTGCCGGCTGCCTACTGCTTGTGATTGGGTACCCTGTACTCCATGTTCCGTACCAACTCCAAATCGGTCCCTCGCATCCTCAGCCGATAGCTCACATACAACGTTGAAATGTGCTACATCTATTGCCAAATTGTGTGCATGATGCAAGGGAAATTCGGGAAATTAATATTAAGCTACGGATCCTGGTCATAGTATTCCCGAGGCGATAGTGATCGTCTTGTCTAAGCCGCTAACGGGTCACTAGTTAGCGAGGCTGGTGATGAACAGAGCAACCGGTCAGAAATTGACAGCAGACATTGCCAATTATAGTTGACTCTAAGATAACCGTTGTCATTGGGTTTAGTATTAGTACAACATATGTCGTACGTCTGTAGAATTTTAGTCCCAATTGCGTTTTGATACCCAAAAAGAGTCCACAGAATAAAGAGAAAGGTAAACAACACGGCACAACTTCCCTTCCCCCCACCCCCTTTTATCAATTGTCTTCTATACTGCGTCCAACCCGTCTCCATGGAGTACACAGAGTGTAGCCAAGATTGAGTTTAGCGTGCCTGAATCTGTACAGCCGATTATGCCTGTTCTCCGTGTTTCATAATTGCCCTTTTTCCCAGCTCATCCCCTTGTTACCCACAAGCCCAGACCATCTTGAAGGTCTAACCTTGTCTTTCCAATCTTAGAACTTCGTCTTGTCATCTCTTTCTCTCTTTTCGAATTTAGGCCTACGGGGCTCGGTTGACCTTTCCTTCCGGGCATTGAGAACCCCGAGTCACTCGTTTACCTTTTACGCGTTTTTCTTCTTCTCGAGCTCTCGAGACAGTTCCGACCTGGGGTCGAACATTTTATTCAATTCTCCCAATTCGAATATCCGTGCGATTCGCGACAACGCCTGGAACATTCTCGATCGCAATTGACACATTCCGCGCCGATAACCCGAAGGGGTCCATTTGAGACCAGACCGCCGATTTTGCCGGCATGTCGAGCTCTTGCATTTCCCTCTCGGGGTCAAGTGCCTGTCCTGCCTGGGATAGCTCGTCCATTTCAACCAGTTCCAGTCTATATGCGGACTTGTGAGTGGAAACGCGCGCATGGGAAAAAAAAGGAACAATTGCTGACAGTGCGCTGCTAGCCCTTTCCTTAAAGGTGTGTCGAATCTGACGGATTTCGATAATTCATTAAAGGACTATGTCCTTGGGTCATATGTTTCGATGAAGTATGTGCTGGCACCAATGGACCGGGAGAAGAGTCACTAACAGGAGCTCCCAGATATGTTGACTTACTGGGATGTCAGGGCATCAATTCAAGTGCCCCCAATAACTACTATGCCCAGTATACAACCAGTGTTTTGTGCAGCAGTGTCGTGCAAAGCTCCATATCCGACTGCAAACTTTCCACAAACGACTCGATACCAATTTGCGTCGACACATGCGCACTTTGGGCCCGGAGTGAACAGGAGACCATGGCAAATACAGACTTATGCGCCACGAGCGACAAGAACTACACGGACCTAATCTACGCCGAGTTGACCATCTGCGAAAAACCATCCGACGCCCTTTCTGGAGATTGTGTCAAAGGAGCTGCGAATGAGCCTGACAACTGTGGCTTTGCGACAAATACCATTGGTCTCTGCACATTTTGCGCGAACGGCACCGATAGTTGCTGTACGAAATCCAATGCCACGAGTCGCTGTGACGGTGTCTCAGTACCAACTGTTACTCTACCCCCTCTTACGCCCTCACCTTCCGCCGTTGCAGATTCTAGCCATGGCTTGTCGGGCGGCGCAATTGCTGGGATCGTAGTTGGCTCCGTCGTGGGAGCCGCCATTCTAGGTGCTCTCCTCGCCTTTTGTATTCTCACGCGCCGCCGCCGCCGTGAGACACGGAATGAAGCTGCGCTCAACCAACCAAACCCGCAAAGAAAGGGCGGATCGCTTTCAATGCAGCAGCCCCCAAGCCCGACATCGTACAACATGGTCCCAGGAGGCCGAGTCACGCGGATGTCTGCATTGCGCGAAATGCCCAGTGAATCATCGCCCGCTTATTCGCGTACCTCCGCGGCGATGTACGGCAGCGGGGCCAAGTACAGCGACACGTCAGACTCAGAAGGCATGGGCGCCAGTCCAGGAGCTATGTCCAAGCGAATCCCACCGGTAACCGGGAAACGTCACGGCTCACTCTCTAGCAGCTCAGTTCTGGCTGGACTAGAAAGCGACAGCTCGCCTCGCTCCGGCCCGACGAACCCATACTCTTCCCCCGAAGCAGTTACCAGTGGTCGATCTGAGCAGCTGTCTTATTTCCGGGACTACTACTCTCAAGATGAGATTCACGCTGGCGACAAGGTTGCGGTCCTTTGGGCATACTCACCACGAGCGGGCGACGAATTCGAACTTGACCGAGGCGAGATGTTGAGGGTGATTGGCATCTGGGACGATGGCTGGGCGACGGGTGTGCGACTCCCCGAACGTGCCGAGGACCAAGGCATGAATTACCGCGAACACCGCGACAGTGGTGTCTCGAGTGGCTCGGGTATGCCGTCGCCCATGCCGTCCGGCGAGATCAAGGCTTTCCCCCTGGTCTGTATCTGTCTACCACAGCACTGGCACAAGATCATCGATGGCGGCCAGGAAGACGAGGAAGTTTGAGCACGGTTCTCAATTTTCAGTTTTCATGCAAAATTACGTCCTGACGACAGCGTGTTGATCCCTTCCAGTGCTTTTTACGCCCCGGCTGGCCATCCTCCCCGAACATCTCAACAATCGGCTCAATGCTCATTTTATACTCGTATTCGATATACCCCCTTTTATGACGGTCATCTCGTCTTTTCCTTAGTTTGACATTTTCTCATTATCTTCTTCCACTTGATTCGTGTGGAACCGGTCGCTGGCGCATCGGACTCAGATGTGCTCTTTGCTCCTAGGGCACATCTCCAGTCTTTTTACGTACTACATCGGTTTGTCACTTGAGACCATTTCTATACCCCGATAAATGAGCGCCGCCGAAGGTGGTTCGGTCAGATATCGGACACATATAGTGGACGCTTTAATGTATGTACATATTTAGACCAATTTTATCAAGGCTAGACCTCAATTAAGGTGAATCATTTCTCCATTATTAAGCCCCAAGAGGTTGTCAGACATTTCTCTCCGAATCCCCCACCTCTGCTCAATTCTTATCCGGGAACGGAGTTAACGGAGTCAATCCCTCGATTTCGCGATTGATTAACAATTGCATTTTACTAATCCAACCCCTCATTTCGCAATGTCTTTTATAATGGCGTGTCTTCCTCAATATAACTTCCTTTTCTAAGCTCTACTCCTCTAAGTTCTATTCCTCCTGCGCATCACACATCAATCCATCATGTCCTCCCCAAAGATCATTCTCTACACGAACCGCGTCTGCCCCTGGGCCCACCGCGCGCACATCGCCCTCAAGGAACTCGGCCTCGACTATGAGGAAGTCACCATCGACCTAAACACCCCGCGCGAGCCATGGTATTTGAAGATCAACCCAGTAAGTGACAAGCGCTCTTTCCGACACCCACTCCTTATCTATACACCTACACTTCATACTACGCCTCGTATACTATAAACTGTTTACTAACAGCCACCTCCAACAGCGCGGCCTCGTTCCCACCATCTCCTATAACGGAACCATCATAGCCGAATCCGGCATTGTCGCCCAATTCCTCGCAGATGCGCACCAAAGCCATCTCCTCCCACCGTCCTCGCCAACCGAGAACGCCATCTACCGCGCGCGTCTCTCTTTCTTCGTTGACGCCTTCTTCAGCAAAGTCCTGCCTTCTTTCTTTGCCAGTATCCGCTCCGCTGATGAGACCGAGCGCGATGCCGCCGCCGAGCAGCTGGTCGCTGCTGTCGTGAAGGAGGTTGAGCCACTCCTGGCAGACACGGAGGGCAAGGGTCCGTTCTTTGGTGGTAGTGAGAAACTGACCCTGGCGGAGGTTCAGGCGGGCTCGTTCTTGTTGAGGATTTTGAGCTTCGCCAAGCCTGAGCATGGTCTTGTTTCGGCTAAGTTGCCCGCTTTGCTAGAGCAGGCTCCGAGGTTTAAGCGCTGGGCTGAGGCGACGGTTGCGCATGACAGTGTTAACTTTATTTATGATGAGAAGCTTGTTGCGGATAAGATGAGGGCTAAGTTTGCGCCGGCACCGAAGGTTTAGATATCCGGTTACAGTGTTAGATGTATGTACCTAGGGTTGGGGTTTGACATGTCCACATACTTGGGCTGTCTTGTTTAATGTTGCTTATGGAACGAGGAATGAGAAATGAATTTGGCTACAGTGCAGTCATGTGAACACTTAGTCTGCTCCGTGCTCTTCTTCCGCCTACTAGGGAACTCGACGGCCAGAGTCCATCAGATAGTCGTTGCAGAGCGAAGCGACTGATTCCAACTTCTATTGCTATGCAAAGCCCCCCTCTTACTGGCTTATTCTCTGTGATTTCAGTACCGCCTTGACGATTAGGCAGTAGATACCTACAATTTGTATGTAAACCACTAATAAAATTAAGTTCCTTTTGTCATATCATTATTGAACTGCTTAATGAACTGCTTTATCGTTGATTACTTTAGCAACTACTTAAGCAACTACTTAAGCAATCGCTTGAGAAACCGCTTGAGAAACTGCCTAAGCAACTGCTCTAGTAACTGCTTTAGTAACATGATGTTAGATTCGAATTTATAGAACTTGGAGCACGCATTTTTAATTGGGAGCTGGATATTTATTTTATTTATACATCCGAATCCTGCAGTATTATTCTATAATATGAGTTGACCAGTATCATCTTCGTATAGCCTATTAAGCCGATTAAGGGGGTCTTCCAAAAGGAGCAATTTGGAATCCACGTGGAACCTCAAATACTTAGACCTCCATTGCTGTGAGGAATCTCATATACCCATAAATACGCAGTACCTGAGGTAGAGATCTCTAGGTGCTTTTTATGGTTTTTGAGCGAATATACGTATGTCGGTTCTGTATAATGCTATACAGTCTGGTCAAATGCCAATATATATTTTGGTTATGAACTTAAACGTTCACACTTGCCAAGCTATATCTACGCCGAGCATTGTAGTCAAGCAATAAAAGAACAATAGGCAGACGCAGTAAATCCAGCTTCTCAATATATTGTATTGCATAAACCACAGTAGATATGGTGGGCCAAGACAAAATTAGCCACTGACGTTGTCCCATGGTTGAAGGCCGGCCAATTTTAGCTCGCAGACACCCACATTGGGGAGGCTCACATCCAACGTCTATGTACTCCGTACCCCGTACATGTGCAGCTATAGGCTAAGATGGTGTGATTACAAACCCTAATGTACATAATCCTTGGAGTACCTGGTACTTCGAGGATGAAAAAGGAAAAACCTCGCGAGAACACAAGTATTGTTCAATGCTTCAACATACCTGACACTATATGTCATTTTTCAAGTCGAAACTCCAAACAGCCTCATATACCGTAGAAGTCTTGAAAACAAACTATATCAGATCAATTCTTTACACGTCATTCAACTTGTAAACAGGTACCGAGCACTTTAATTATCAAAAGTCTGATATCACGTGCAGCCACCCCCACTATGGCCATGGCAACACCTGGGAAACAATTCACCCCTCAAACTCCATCTTCCCCGTCTCATCCGTCTCCGTTGTCTCGATCCCCGCCTCCTTCAATCCCTGTAAGTAATTGGAGTGCATACTACTTTGACTTCTCATGCCAACCCGAGAAGCTCGAAAGACCCCCTGAGTTTGGTCATCTCAGCCACTGACATAGCGCTAGACAGCCCGTCCTTTTTTGTCTTTCTCATCTACATAAGCCATCATGTCGGTTCGTATTGACCTCTACCCCATGCTATACAACATTCAATACTGACTATGATATCGCGCAGCTCGCATCCGGGTAAGTCGTCGTCGGTTCCCGCGCTCGCAACTGGTTTCCCCTCACTTTCACTATTTATTGACACCTGCCCCCTACAGTGTCCAGATCCAGGATGACTGCATCACCACCTTCCAGGACTTCAGCCGAAGCCACGGCAAGACCAAGTACATCATCTACAAGATCGCCGACGACAAGAAGTCGGTTGTCGTAGACTCAGTCGGCAAGGACCAGGACTACGAGGTCTTCCGCAACGAGCTCGCCGATGCCAAGGACAGCCAGGGCCGCGCCTCCCCCCGTTACGCCGTCTACGATGTCGAGTACGAGATTGCCGGCGAGGGCAAGAGGTGCGCATTCTGATATTCGCAATTGTTCTCAGGCCTCCCGCTGACCTGATTGTTCTCACAGAAGCAAGATTATCTTCATCTCCTGGGTGCCTAGCGAGACCCCCACTCTCGTAAGATTCCCCCAGACCCAGGCTTCAACGCATGTGCAGAACCAATAGCTAATTTCATTTTCAGTGGTCCATGATCTACGCCAGCACCCGCGAGGTTCTCAAGAACGCCCTCAACGTCGTCACTTCCATCCACGCCGATGACAAGTCCGATATCGAGTGGAAGACAGTCCTGAAGGAGGCCAGTGGTGGCAAGGCATAGATGATAGCGCCGGCTGGATCCGGGCTGCGCGACTGATATGGGTGCGCCCTTGACGGCGCCGCGGAACGATCAATTCATTACCTTTCCTGCACACCGTTCTCCCATTTTCTTGTTAGTTGCAATGCAAGACCGTTACGACTTGGCCCGTGTTTGTACCATTTTGCGAGAGGTCTGAGGAGTCTTGATTTACTTTCAGCTTGTTCCGTTCTGAATGATTTTTACTTCAAGTTGAGGTACTTGGGCAATTAGGCACCGAATCTTGCTGCCTGTCGGTTATATTGCACGTGGCGGACGAGAAGATCTCAGGATGCATGGTGTTGAATGTAGAATAGTTAGGCAACTGGACAACTCCTGGCTTTTCCTGCGAAGCTACTGCATGACTGGGCTAGTTTAAATGCGGCTAAAGATTCCGACGATGGCCTAAAGACTTGAGCGACTGGTTGAAACTGGGGAACCTTGCGAATAGAGGCATAATAACCGTCGAAATGAAAAAAAGTCCATAAGCACTTGAAGAATATCAACATCATGCCACATGGCTGAGAATGGTGATGCTGCTCACTGGCAGGGACAGCCGATTTGGGCCAGGAGCCAATGAGGAGGCGGCCAAACCAAAACCGCACTAGTCCCGACCGGATCCTCGCCTTTCCACCTCAAACCACAAGAAACGTCTTCAAGTCATTCCCCATCCACGATTCTCCTCCACTCACTCCTAAGCCGTGCCCAGGCGTGCTCTCTGGCTTTCAAACTTCCGACCTCCGTCTAATTACATCAATTGAAACCGATTCCGACGTGGTCCTCCCACCTCCCGCCTGCCGCACAATGTTTCTTCGCACCGTCTCTCGCGCTGTCCCTCGCAGCACCGCGGCCATCCGTGCTGCCCCGACTGCCTCTGTGAACGCCCTGCAGACCCGCGCTGCCTCGGACCATGCTATCCCCAACCCTACCCTCGCCAACATCGAGAAGCGCTGGGAGGGCATGCCCCCTCAGGAGCAGGCCGAGCTCTGGATGCAGCTCCGTGACCGTATGAAGGTCGACTGGCACCAGTTGACCCTCCAGGAGAAGAAGGCCGGTACGTACTACCCCTAGAATGTGTTGGCTTGAAAGACAGCCTCTTGCTTCGACTATCCTGAGGCTTCCGCGGTTATCTATGACGGGATGCACCTGATCCCTCGTCCATGATTATCTTTGCAAGTAATCGTTTTTCACTGACATCAATTCTTCCTCTGCTCTAGCTTACTACATTGCCTTCGGCGCCCACGGCCCTCGTGCCCAGGCCCCCAAGGGTGAGGGCTTGCGCGTCTTCTTCAAGGTGCTCCAGCTCACTGCCGCCTCCGTTGCCATCTTCTACGCCGTCCACTCCTTTGCCGGCAAGCAGCCCGGTACCATGTCCAAGGAGTGGCAGGAGGCCTCCAATGAATATGCCCTGGTATGTATCTCACGCCCCTTCCGACAGCAGTCGGGAGAAGTCTCTGCCTCGGTCAAATTGGACGATGCTAACCTATTCGACTACAGAAAGAGAAGATTAACCCCATCCACGGCATCAGCAAAGAGGGCTACGAAGGCAAGGGCTTTGTCCAGAGCGGCCCCGCCGAGAAGTCATAGGTGTACTAGTTACCCGACCGGGAATGACTTGATATCTACGCAAGACGGACGGCGGCATCCGTCGCACGACCTGGATGTCGATTTTATTGCAAGCTACTCTTTCCATAGATGTTCGACATGTCTTTGTATCGGAGGATGGGCCTCCGCCCGTGCGCGCGTCGACTGTTCCCCATTCTATCTTTTTTTGGCAAGCATTGGAAAATGCGTGTATCTCGTACTGTGCTATAATCAATGTATCTCTTTTGTAGCCATAGGACATGAGTTTGATATGGACGTAACTCTAGGATAAACGATCTACGGTGTATGCCCCTGCGCTCCGACATGGCGTGGTCTACGGAGTGATTCGGAACCAACGCAAGTGCGGAGAATCCCTGCGGGAACACGGTGGTTTCGATAATAACAGAATAATACGGGTTAGTTTCTATGGAGATATGAAATGCAAAGAGGATATAAATAGGAATGAAGATTATAAACCATCTGAATATAACGAACATAACAATCTTAGCTTGGAATCTAATTTAGTGCATAAGTTTTTATATGTTCGATGTTTTGACCCGGAATTGGCACACGTCAGAGTTTTTCCGATATTCGGACCAAAGGGCCATTGACTTTCGTGATATCTTTTTCTAGTTTCACCCTTTCACCGCCAGCCTAAGGTACAATGTTTTCAATATCTTGAAGATTTCTCCGGGGCAACGATGTCATTGAGCAAAAAGCCGTGGCTCCCCTGCACCCGGCCGCCAAGACCCGGTGTGTGTGCGCGAATTCCAGGGCAACGGGCTGAGCTTCCTCGGCCACCACTTCACCACACCATACTAGTGGCAATGGATATTTAAAAATAATAGAGAGCATGATTTATATATAAAAAACCATTCTAGATCAGAAAATCAAGCTCTTTTCCCTGTAGATAGCTCAAGTTGGTGCTCGGTTCATCACGGGATCGTCGGCAAAACCGCCCCGGAAAGGCTAAGGGCGACCAGTCCCCATCCACCAACCTCTTCCCTTCCTCTTCTTCCCTCTTTTCCCGTTCCAACCTCACCTCTTCCTTTCACCACATCTCGCTCTTCAACACAGTCATTATGTTCAAGAGGTATGGTTTTATGATCCATTGAATCTTCCTGTCTTTTTCATTTGGAAACTAATTTTATAATCTCTCTAGCGGTCTCGCCCGGTCCTTTGGGAGGGCTGCTTTTGCCCGGACGACCCCCGTCGCCCGCGCTTTCCAGCCTGTCCGTTCCAATGCTCTCCCGGCTATCACTGCCCGCTTCGCTAGCTCCGATGCTGTCTTGACTGGAAAGGTTCACCAGGTCATTGGTGCCGTCGTTGACGGTACGTGTTATCGACTCCTGACGGAACGGGCACCTCGCGAAAATCTTTTCCCTGGACCCAATCCATCACCGAAACCATCGCAATCAACCCCAAAATCATCAACAAAACCGTTTCTGACTTTATATTCGCCATCTTACAGTGAAGTTCAGCGGAGAGAAGCTCCCTGCCATTTACAACGCCCTTACCACCATTAACAACGGCCAGAAGCTCGTTCTGGAGGTTGCTGTACGTGATCTGATTGGCTGAACCTTGATTCAAATCGCAACAAAGCTAACAATTGCTTTTAGCAACACTTGGGTGAGAATGTCGTCCGTACTATTGCCATGGACGGTAAGCTTCACCCCTTCCCACCCCTTTCTTGGGCCACCGTGTCGTTCCCTACCCGATCGGGGGAATTGATTGAGTGTGGCCCTACCGTAAATTGGAGCTTTCACTAACGTCATCTGAAGGTACCGAGGGTCTCTCCCGTGGTGTCACCGCCGAGGATACTGGTGCCCCCATCACCATCCCCGTCGGTCCCGCCACTCTCGGTCGTATCATCAACGTCACTGGTGACCCCATTGACGAGCGTGGTCCCGTCAAGGCCACCAAGTTCGCTCCTATCCACGCCGATGCTCCCGCCTTCGTCGACCAGTCCACCTCTGCCGAGATTCTCGTCACCGGTATCAAGGTTGTTGACTTGCTCGCCCCCTACGCCCGTGGTGGTAAGATTGGTCTGTTCGGTGGTGCCGGTGTCGGTAAGACCGTGTTCATCCAGGAGTTGATTGTAAGGATTTCCTCTATCCCCCATCTCTTGAAATCCGCATAAAATGCTTATACTTGCAATTTTTAGAACAACATCGCCAAGGCCCACGGTGGTTACTCCGTGTTCTGTGGTGTCGGTGAGCGTACTCGTGAGGGTAACGATCTGTACCACGAGATGCAGGAGACCGGTGTCATCCAGCTCGATGGTCCCTCCAAGGTCGCCCTTGTGTTCGGTCAGATGAACGAGCCCCCCGGTGCCCGTGCCCGTGTTGCCCTGACTGGTTTGACCATTGCCGAGTACTTCCGTGACGAGGAGGGTCAGGACGTGCTGCTCTTCATTGACAACATTTTCCGTTTCACCCAGGCCGGTTCCGAGGTGTCTGCCCTTTTGGGTCGTATCCCCTCTGCCGTCGGTTACCAGCCTACCCTGGCTGTTGACATGGGTATGATGCAGGAGCGTATTACCACCACCCACAAGGGTTCCATCACCTCCGTCCAGGCCGTCTACGTGCCCGCTGACGATTTGACTGATCCTGCCCCCGCTACCACCTTCGCTCACTTGGACGCCACCACTGTGTTGTCTCGTGGTATCTCCGAGTTGGGTATCTACCCCGCTGTCGATCCCCTCGACTCCAAGTCCCGTATGCTCGACCCCCGTATCATCGGTGACGACCACTACAACACCGCCAGCCGTGTCCAGCAGATGCTCCAGGAGTACAAGTCCCTCCAGGATATCATTGCCATTCTCGGTATGGATGAATTGTCCGAGGCTGATAAGCTCACTGTCGAGCGTGCCCGTAAGCTCCAGCGTTTCTTGTCCCAGCCCTTCGCCGTCGCCCAGGTCTTCACTGGTATCGAGGGTACCCTTGTTGACTTGAAGGACACCATCTCCTCCTTCAAGGCCATCATTGCTGGTGAGGGTGACGACCTCCCCGAGGCCGCCTTCTACATGGTTGGCGACATGAACGCTGCCCGTGCCAAGGGTGAGAAGATCCTGGCTGAGCTTGAGAACAAGGCCTAAATGTAATTTTGTCATTTGCTAGCTAGCGCCGTCTTAACTTCCCCCTCCACCTTCAAGCTCTTCCTCTTCTTTTCCTCTTTTCCCTCACCTATTCTCTATTGGTTCTCTCGGTTTCATTTAATTCCCTTTGTCAGAACACTCAAAAGTGTTCCAACGTTGTACGCGACAACATCATTTCCCTTTTTCGAGGCGTGTATATTACCACAGTGTACATTACCCGATCTAAGAGAGAAAACAAATGCAACAAGAAAGGGATTTGATTTCACTTCCATTTCCACTGCATGGTCGTCGCGTCAACGTTGGAACTCCCTGGTGTCGTTCTGTCTAGACTCGATCCGAAAGGAATCCGAGCAAGGGAATCTGAAATCTCTGGGATCTACCGACGGCAGAATCGTGGTTTGGGAATTGAGGTTGAAGAGGTTGGGAGTTTTTGTCGGTGGTTTGGGGGAGGTTCGTGATGCGTTCGTCTATCTTAGCGACTTGATGGGATTTTAAAGCCGGTCTAGATTGGAGATACCTTACACAACCCACCCCCCTAGACCGGCATGTTTCATTATTTTGTGTATTTAGAGTTCAAAACCTGATTCTCGACATCTTTTCCTTTGTGATAGCCTCCTTGGTCCTGCGTATTTTGTATAGTGGTGTAGTTGAATGGTTAGAGAGATAAGTGCGTTCATCCCTATACAGCTAGTCCCTCGATCATTCAGGCTGGTTTATATCTAGCTGCTTTTTGTCTAGTTATACGGTGCCTCTGAACTGAAACTTATTTCTCTAGAGGTGATCTTCCTATTGCCTACGCAAACCGTGCACCACTATCTTCCTTCACGCTCTGTCTGTTGAGGCGACAATGTATAATGCTTTCAAAAGAGTGTATATGATATAAAACGTTACTAGACACATAGCCGTAGTTAGAAACAAAATGCAGGACATCACACTGAAGAAACTAGGTCAAATCACGCTAACACTAGGACTAAGATGTTCAATTTCGGACTCTGCTGCGTGCAAGACACAGACATGGATTGGTGTTCACATTACAGAGTATTTTCCAGAGCCAGAACCTGCAAGGAACACAGAAAAGTCAGCAAACCAGTCGAAAAACAGACGGGAAAAAGTCAAGACACATACCAAAGCAGTCCTCGTAGGAATATAAACCTGCACGAAATTCGCCCTCCCATTCCACTCCATATCAGTAGTGAAGAAGCGCGTCTCCTTAACATTCCGCCCAAGCCCACCAAATGCCGTATCATCCGTATCAAGAATAATCCGGTATGTACCGGGAACCTGAACGCCAACGCGGTAATCGGTGAAGCTCTTCTTGGAATTGAAATTGAAGATCCAAAGTAGTCCAGCCCGCTCGAAGACAAGGACCTTGTCACTCTCGTTCTTCAGACTGATGTATGCCTGCGGCGAAGAGAGCCACTTGTACTTCTTCTCGGCCAGCTGCATCCCGCGGTCGAACTGGTTCAGGAAGTTGTACCGCAGCAGAGGGTCTTCGGTGAGGTTTAGCTGGCGTCGCGCGTACCAGAAAGAGTTGTCGTTGCCGGCGCGAGGGAAGTCCAGCCATTCTGGGTGTCCGAATTCGTTGCCTTCGAAGTTTAGGTAGCCTTCGCCGCCGAGGGCGTGGGTTACTAGGCGGATCATCTTGTGCAGCGCCATGCCGCGCTCGATCACGGGGGTGAACTCCGTTAGCGTGGACATGTGTGTGTACATCTCTTTGTCGCAGAGCCACATCATAAGGGTCTTGTCTCCGACGAGGCTGCGAGTGTGTGTTAGTTGGTTGGATAAATGGAATTTGGAGATGGGGGATTGGACTTACGCTTGGTCATGGCTCTCGGCGTAGGCAATGGTTTTCTCACCATGGCGCCGGTTGGTGAGCGTGAAGGCGATGTTGGCCATGTCCCATTCGTCGTCAGTGCTTTCCTTCAGAAGCTTGATCCACATGTCTGGGATGGCCATCGCGAGACGGTAGTCGAAGCCAGCACCGCCTAGTGCGTGGGGTAGACACAGTGCGGGCATGCCGGAGACATCTTCTGCGACTGTGATACAGTCTGGGTAGAGTTCGTGCAGCATCTGGTTGGCGAGGGTGAGGTATGTGACGCCCTCCTCGTCAACGCCTGGCCCGAAGTACTCATGGTACCCACCAGAAAATCCACTGTTTCTTTCGGTTAGCGGGGCTTTCTAAAGAAATAGTAGGATAATGAACATACGTTCCGATACCATGGTGCGTATAGAGCATGCTGGTCACACCATCGAAGCGGTATCCATCGAATTGATACTCTTCCATCCAGAAACGCAGATTACTCAAAAGGAAACGCAACACTTCGTGGCTTCCATAATTGAACAGACGGCTGTCCCACAGCTCATGACGGCCCTTCGCACCGCCATGGAAGTAGAGGTGATCCGTTCCATCGAACTCATTGAGTCCATCAACGACGTTTTTGGAGGCATGGCTATGAACCACATCAAGAAGCACAATCAGCCCCATTTCGTGTGCGGTATCAACAAGCTCCTTCAGATCCTCTGGGGATCCGTAGCGACTGCTCGCCGCGAAGAAGTTGTTTACCTGGTACCCGAAGCTAGCATAGTACGCATGCTCCATGATAGCCATTAGCTGGATTGCATTGTATCCTAGATACTGAATGCGGGGCAGCATGTTTTTCGTAAACTCCTTGTATGTAGCGACCCTAGTCTCTGGCGACGAGATGCCGACGTGCGCCTCGTAGATGCGTAGATCCTCCGGCTTCTTGGGCCGCGCGTACTGAAACTTGTATACCTCATCCGCGGGCGGGTTCCAGAAAACGGCATCGTATGCAGGCGATACGCTCAGGTCTTGGACCACGCGCTTGATCCAAGCGGGGATCCGGTAGATGCGCTCGCCGCTGGGGAGCACCATTGTGATCTATCGGATTCTTAGTGGGTGTCGTGCTGATATTCGGGGCTGATATTCTTACCTTGATCTTGCTCTCGTGGGGAATAGCGGGAGCGCCATTCTTCGCTGGTACCGTTACATCCCAGGTGCCGAAGCTGTTCTTCGTCATGGGGTTGGCATTGACGTCCCAGTTGTCTGCCAGTCTCAGTCAAGCTCCTCAAATATGGCTAGCACACAACGTACTAAAATCACCGACTAAAGAAGCCTCCTTGGCGTTGGGTGCCCATTCTTGGTATTTGATCTCTCCGTTGGGTTGTGCATGCAGTCCGAAGGTTTCGTAGCCCTGATAAACTCATTAGTACAGAGGACATCGATCAATGGAGATAAATTCACCTTGCTGAACTTGTCCAAGCTGCCCTCTGTTTCATTGATGGTCTTGGTCCATTCCTCGACCACCTGGTATCTGTGTTTCAAGACATCACGGTACGGTTCCAACCAAGGATCCAGTTGGATAACACCTATTTTTTTTTGTTAGAATGAGAACTGTAATGAAAGCTCTAGTAATTTTAAGCTTACCTGTGCCATCAGTGGGAATATTTGAGCTGTCAATGGTAGAAGACATGTCTGGTGCGGAGAGCTGGAGAGGTGGAGAGAAGATGGGGAGAGTTCCAGATCAAGGAAACCTAGCGGGGGGTTCTCAACATGTGACATCAACCCCTCAACGCTTTGTCATTTCGGGGTTTTTTTCTTGTTATTTTAAGTGGATTTCTTTTTTCTTCCTATTCCAGTCCTTTTTTGAATAAAGTCATACTAAATACTTGCAATAGAATTGAGACTTCTTCGAGCTCCAGTGGGGATGTGGAGCGACGGGAACGGATCCGCAGGTAAGCTGTTTTCAGGCGAAGAACACACTTGTCTATAGCAACCATGTCCCGTAGCATATCACCCCTAGCTTTCTTGGTGGTATATTTAGTGGCAAATTTTGAAATGCCTTGGAAGCTAGGTATCTATTCGGACACTTTTCCGTCGATCATCTTTTCACACCGGGAGAGTATGTCAAAAGTTACACGGTCTATGTTGGATAGCCTTCAATTGGCTAGAACTGCGATTGTTTGCGTCAGGGATCTCGTCTAGGGCAAGGAATCCGTAGATAAGGTAGCTCACCACAGTCTCTTTGGCATGTATAGTGTATGACTCCTGATTTTGGGGGTGACCTGATCGAGAGGAAAGATCAGGCATATGATCATTGCTCTGTGCATGATCAAGTGTGCCATGACTAATTGCTAGCAACAAGGAGACGTGGGCCTCTTTGTACTAGAGCCCTCTATCGTTTGGCGATTTTGGCAGGAATTTGCTCTAATAGCGACCGAGATGACCTAACACTCACTGCAAATTGGATATATGCAAGTTTCAAAGAGCCTAGAAAGAGCTTTTGGTGATATAATGGAAGTGGTCGAAGGAATCAAACCTTGAAGAGTCCCAATCAGGAAATATGTCCTTTATAATGAAGACAAAACATGTCGCCACTTCTAGATTTATCTAGTTCACTCAATGTGATGGCATGTAGGGCATAGCTACGGTACGGGGAGAGGGATATACCTTCTAGGCAAACTGGTGTTATGAAGGCGCTACAATATACTCTACACGCATAGGGCTGATCGGCACTTGGCCAGGGATCTTGGTCCCAATAAGGGCTGGGCATTGAATTTGAATTGAGTGAATTTGGTGCTCCAAAGATAATGCGCCCGCCTTTGCCTACTTGTCTCAAAATTCCACAAAGGATTTATAAAGTACATGACTTCTGTCCCTTTGTCAAATACAATGATCAAAGGCTTTGTATGAACCCAGTCAACGTCAACTGAAAAAGCATAAATAGGATTCTCCCATCTGTCCAAGCTATCCCTCCCATCATCTACAATCACGCAAGACTCGAGGTAAGCATACCTACATCTAAGCAAGCCCCAGTCTATTCTTCGCCGCAGATAGTCAACGTGAGCACAAATAGATACCTAGGCACAGAAGAGGCCGACAGGATGAACTACGAAAAGCGATTCCTCACCGCATGCGCCTGCTTCAAGTCCACTCTATTCGAAGAGTTCCGGTTCCTTGGACTTGGAGACGGCCTCCGCCCCGAAATCATTCCAGTGCTCTACAAATTGGCGAGGCTGCTCGAGGCCATCTTTGCCCTGGGTGAAGAGATGGCACGGGCATGTCCGCGTTGTCGCACCGTCCGTAATAGACCTGCAAACCACTTCTCGGCTGAGTTCGAGCGCTTGTGTTGTGACCGCATCATGGCACCCTTGACGAAAGCCATTGCTGACCTTGAAGCTGACGAGATGTCCGCAGAGCCACAGGCGAGCGTTGACTTTATTGTAGCTTCGGATTTGGATGATATTCGTCCCAGTACCATCTTGCTCTCTAGTGAGCCGCTGCCTCTGGATATGAGTCCCTGTGTTTGCCTTCAAAGCCATTCTCGCCCGTGAACTTCTTTTGGTTTCTCTGCTTGCTTCGTTGTTATTGAATAAACCATGTTTATCTGTTTAACTTATCTTCCATTGTAGACTAGTAACATTAAGTAGATGTAGTTGTGTGTTTTGAATTCTCGATCTCCAATGTCTATCAACCAAAGAGTATACTAATTTAGAGGATCTTTATGAGATGAATGTGGAGGTTGTAATCCCTCGCAGGCTACACACATGGATTTGATCTAGTCTACTCTATTCCCTGATAATTCTTAAATTGAGTCTAACTCTCTTTACTTCTCATTTCATTTAATAATAACATATCACATCTTCTACTTTAAAATAATCTCCAAAAATAGAATCGAACCCCAAGAAGGAGGCCAAAAATGGGGCGATGCTGCACGGGCCCTCTCCAGATGGCCCCTGGATATCGCAGCACTCCGCAAGGCCTAGTCCCATTGACTATCTCAAAGCCCAGCACCATGTCTCTACAAGCAGGCAGTCAGCCATGGCACCAAACTACCGCAATCCGACTATTAGCTGACTCCCTGTATGAGTCAACGCGCGTGTCAATGGCCCTAACGAACCAGGCCCAAAATGAGCTCGGCCTGCTTCTGACCGTACTAAGCGCGACCGAGGCGTATACTTCCTCTCTAGGGGCGGAATGCGTCCATCTCGCAGTTTTGAAAAAAAGATTGCACAGCTGCCATGTTGTCCTGCTAGAATTGCAGAAGCTGCTTCTACATCCAGATGCGCTCGGGGCTCAGAGTCTGGTTTCTGACATTCGCGCGCGGCTCTCTTCGGTTATTTTCGGGCTTACCGAGGTGAATCTGAATATGATGATGTGTGTTTGTTATGTTCGTGTGTGGGTTAGTGTGGATTCTAACATTGATACAGATCATCACAGAAGATTATTGAGCGCGCGCTGAGGTGCTTTATCGATGACATTCGTGCTGGCACAAGGGAGGCCTTGGTTATTTCTGATATTTTGAAGGATTCCTCGAAGCTTGAGGAAGACAGAATCTGGGCTCAGTTACAGGAAGAGTTGGTCGCTACTGGTATTGCTTCGGATTTGTTGACTCTGAACCGGGACTTCGTTCTCTCGACTTTTCAAAAGACAACAGAGACATATGGCCTACTGCCTGCTCACAGAGAGAACACGGCTCCGGTAGAGGATGTCCTTGAATCTACGGCACCATCACAAACTCTGGAATCGGAACGCCAGAGAAGCCTAGACGACAAGGACTGGCTAGCAGACGAACCAACTGGCCTCCCATTTCTCCCGCTCCCGCCGAAAGGTTTCTCATTTTCAGACAAGCGCAGCTCATATTCAATCCAGGAGCAGCCATATTCCGAAAAAGAGACAATACGAGAAGAAAACTTCCCAATACCAGTGACATTAGACATGCAAGATTGCACAGATACACAGAAAGAAGCGTTACCAGTCGAAGACTTCCCCATCCCAGTTCTTACAGAGAACAATCAAGATAACGACATGAACCCCCCAATACCAGTGACAGAACCTACCCAGCCAAAACCCTCACTAGACCTCCACGCCTTCAAAGTTTCCACACACTCAAAAAAGCCCCGCCGAATGAGCCGCATTCTATGGGAAATGACCAGCTCAAGAGAACCCTTCATAGTCGCCATAAAAGCCAACCAACACCAAACCGTGCAAACCCTCCTTTCCAAAGGCGCCGATGCCAACACCCAAAATACCGATGGCACAACAGCCCTAATGGCCGCCGTCTCCTTCGGCCACGAAGCCACAACCCGCATTCTACTAGAATACGGCGCAGACATGAACGTACGGGCTCTGAAAGGCGAAACAGCGCTCGGCGTCGCCGCAGCGCGCGGCTTCGACCGCATCTTGCGGATGCTGATTGCCTCAGGCGCGAATATCAATGCGGGTAAGGGGACGGGCGAGACGGCGCTCTCGCAGGCTGCCGCGTATGGACAGAATCGAATTGTGGAGATGTTGCTGGACTGCGGGGCTGAGATTGATGCTGTTAATAGTACGGGGGATACGGCGTTGGCGCTGGCGGCGTTGAATGGGAATATGAGGGTTGCGAGGTTGTTGCTTGATCGGGGTGCGGCGGTCGATCTTATGCGGTATCCTTGGCAGACGCCATTGTATAAGGCTGTTCAGTCGAATGTCCTGGAGATGGTTAGGCTTTTGATGGAGCGCGGGGCGGATCCGTATGTTAAGGGCGGGATTCGTCGGACAGAGACGGTTGTGGCTTACGCGGGGATAATGCAGAGGAGTGAGATTTTGGGGGTTTTTGCGCAGTATGGGTATTATCCTGGGGGAGGGGGACCGGTTCGATATCAATATTTCTAATGGCTTGGGGGTCTATGAGTCTGCATATAACATCCGGCATCTAGCGTAAATCGATTTATATCTTTTTCGGTCCGGCTTTAGGTCTTTAGTAGGCCATGTTTTGGAGTGATTGTACATCTATATCTTGTTTCATGTAGCCTTATCTATGTATATATCTCACTTTATATTACAATACGCCTATGCGCAATTAATATAGTGTATTCAAAATAGTATTTGGGGGCCAAAGATCGAGAAACTAAGGAGCATTTGCGTATAGGCCTACTCAGCCTTCAAAGGCTCAGACAGGCATTGATCGGCCACAACCCGTGTGATCAGGTTTGCGTTTACGATCGTCGGGGTGTAATAATGTTATAACCGCCAGTGTAAATGGGCTGGATTTTTATTTGAATTATTGTTGGGGCTTGGTATAATACGTACGGAATAGAATTGAGCTGCGATATGCTAGCATCAACCGGCTTAGGATGAATTGAGCTGCGATATGCTAGCATCAACCGGCTTATGATGAATTGAATTGTCTCTAGCCCCTTCATGTAGACCGATCCAAATAGAGATTGGTCGCAAAATAAGCCGCATGCCTATCTATCAACAGCCTTTTCTGTAGATAATCCCTGGGTTTCATGCACGGATGAGTCAAAAACGAGATCGACAGACCAACCCGACGGATTTCTCTTAAGTCTTCTGGCTATGTGATACTGCAAGCTTCACTTGCGTGGCTTAGGCTTGGTATCTTATAACCCTGTTCAAGGCAGTGCACTCATGGAATCCCCAGGTATCCACTGTAATACTTACATCTTACATATTAACCCTTGACGATCATATCGACCGCTCTATTCAAATTTCTTGTATCCCCATCAAACCGTCTGTCTCCAGACCCCCAGACTCTATAACAATGCCAGGACACACAGAACACCCCGAGCCGACGCCTAGTACGCTATGAGCCCCCCATCATATTCCCATATAGCACCAAATTATTAACAACCCCTAGCACCAGCCCCCATATACTGCGAAGATCCTGAAGTCGTTTTCCCAGACCATCAAAACCGAGGCCCTGTAAGCCCGCACTTAGACACGTATTCACACACTGGACAGTCCCTCTCAGACGCCCTGCACTCCAGCTACGCCCCAACAACAATAAACTGCCCCTCAGAACAACACTACCCCCATCGACCTGACCCCATCAGCCAAGCACCCGCATACGATGCGTCGCCATCAACGACTGCTCCGCTCGACAAGGCATACGCAGGCCAGCCCCTGCCCCAGTACCCGCACATACAAGCACAGTTACAGCAGGGGCCGGGCTACCCACAGCAGTTCTACATGCCTTCCGGCCATCCTAGTGGGTATGCCACGGCCATACCGCTGCACTGTGTCCAGTCTGCACCTTGTCCGGTTGACTGTCCTGTTTGTGGAGAACGGGAGATGACCAGTGTTGAGTCTGTGAGCGGTGGGACTACGCAGTAAGTTGGATTTCCGTGTATAGTTGAAATATTGGATTGGTAGTTGATCTTCTTTTCGTTTTGGTATAGTGGCTGGGCTGCTATTCTTTGCTTTTGTTGTTGTCTCGGCTGTATCCCTTACTTGATGCCCTCGCTTAAGGATGTCGAGCATTTTTGTGGTAAGTGTGGTGCTAAGCTTGCGAAATGGCATAATAGTGGCCGTGTAAATATTTTGAAGAATGAGGCAAGGAAGTGAGGGTTTGTTTACTTCGCCGTGTTTTTTTTTTCATCTTCGCAAAGTATACCACTGTTTGGTTGGGGCTGGGTTGGCGTTGCGCATCTTTCAACTTAATTTGTTTTCGATGTGATCACAGACTTGAACGATTTACGATTTAACATTGACGATTTCATATGAAAATCATTGAACTGGACGATATGGTGATAAGACGTAGGGACAGATGACGCGCCAAGCCGACCTCGTATCCGATGATCGCATCACTTTTTTCGCAACAAAATCCCAGTTGTAGACATCTCACAGCCTCAAGAAAAACCAAAATGATCCGCCTCATCCTTACGGCAACAGCGATAATAACCAGCTCGTCGGCAATCTACTTCTACATCTTCCACGAACGCCTATCAAAACGCATAGCGCACAAGTCCCACCTTGGAACCCTCACCGCATCCACAAAACCAAGTATAGAGTCAATCCCGGAAACCGTCTTTAGCGATGAGTACTTCACAATCTACGACCACGCCTCAGAGTCAGTGCCGCGGGCCTGCCTCCCCAGCAGTGAGGCCACAGACCTGCTCTTTAAAAGACTAGTGCGCCGCAATATGACCGCTTTCTCGCGGTTCCCGCAGGCGCTCATGCTTGCTATGGCTAGCAAGAAGCCGGAACAGAAGCAGAGTTTTAAGACGGGATATCTTGCCGCGCTGGACTTTGAGGTCGGGGATTTGGTTTGTGGGGTTTATCGTGTTGTGGTACGGAGGAGGGACCGGGTTGAGTTTGAGATTAAGATGGAGACGGTGGATTTTGTGGAAGGAAGGTTGGCGATTAGTTATGAGGAAAGTAGTAGTCTGGAGGAGGAAGGGACGGTTGTGTTTTGTAGTGAGACTGTTATGTGGAGGAGAGCAGATGAGGGTAGGAGGATGCCGTTGGAGAAGCCTGTTTTGAGATGGATGCATGAGACTGCTTCTTGGTGGCTGATGGACTCTGGAGTTAGATATTTGGCGGATTTGGAGGGCTGACTGGATGTCCTGGAGGCAATATATTCATGGGAATACTGTTATTACGGCAATGCGACTTTTGTTCATGAAATGATATTTTGGAAACTTCTCCTATGCTTTCTAGCGCCTGCCCACGACCTTCGATGCGATGAATAGTGTATGCCGGGTCCGATGAAAGATACCGATTGAGCTGTCAGACACTTTGGTCCTGTATCTACGTTCGCGCTTTCAACCCAGTTCTCTTGCATTGGACAATCAGGAATTTGTCGGCTCTTCTCCAAGCAGATACTGGTCGTGTGTAAACCGGAGAAGCCCTTCTAAGACGAAGCTTTGCAGCTCATGGTTGTGGTAATATTATATATGAAAAACGAAGGAAGGCAAATGTGTGAGGGAGAATTCAAGAGCAGAATTCAAGGGGCTACTAGACCTATAGGAAACCATTCTAACATGAGATCAGCGATATTTGTTTTACAGTGTCATCTGGGTTGGATACAATGAGGATTGGGCGTTTACCACAAGTCCCTTTGACACGCGCGTCCAACAGGCTAAAGATCCTGGGAATTTATTATACACAATTTTTCACAGACAATTTGAACAAAGAGTTTCATCATGGAACCAAAACAATGCCATTAACCCTATCTTTGTTACATCATTTGCCTTTGTTCAACGACTCGGCTTTGTACTCGCCCGTCGGAGACTCCCTCAACCCACAGATCAAAGTATATATAAACCATGATGCTCGCGCATATTTATCTAATATGGCAGCAAATCAATTCTCTCTTATTGTCTCATCTCATATATCCCCTCTGCTTTCTACTCATCTATTCTATTCCGTAGAATGTGTAAACACACCTACCACCACTATCCCAGCTGCGGACATATCTCTAACTGGAGCATGACCAGCTGCCAGGAATACACCAACAAGATCCGCCTGGCCGGTCCAGAGAGCAGCGTATCCTGCAACCAGATCAAACCCTCCCACGACCTCCTCCTCTCCACCCAGCCCAGCATGTGTGTGCAGTGCGAGAGCGAGTGGGCTGAGAACGTCTCTCAAGAAGACGACCAGACCCAAACCGCCAACTCTTACCGGACGATTGAAGGCCTGAATGCTACAGGCTATGTGATCGAAGTTAACGCGCGCATGGTGAGTAATTTCACTCCCGATGACAGGGACACAAGTAGTACTGACCACAGCGACAATGGTCAGGCCTTCTTGAGTGCTGCCGTTGGTGATTCGGGCAATGGGGACGCAGAAAGTGCTGGCCACAGCGACAATGGTCAGTTCTGCTCGCGTGCTGTTGTCAGCGAATCGGAGTCGGATTACGGAAGCTTGGCCCGTTCTAAGAGGTCGTCTAGCACGGCCTTTAAATTGGCTCGTACTAATTCCGGTTCGTCCGAGACAGCTGCAGATCTTGACTCTTTCGCATCTATAACCGTCAAGACCAGTCCGGCTCATCTCGCCCACAGCGGATGTGAGAGTGATTATGCAAAGGATAGTGTTGAGACTGAATCACCGGATACTGAGGGCACTGGATGTTCAACTCCTAGCAATGCAAGCAGCTGCGACACGGACAGTTCTGGATCGTCGCTTTGCGGATCTTCTTTGATAAGGTATAATATACTGAAGCTGAGAATTGACGAATATTTCGAGAAGCGACAGCGACGGCGGGAGGTGGACACTGACCATCAACAGCCCGAAGCTGACGACTCTGGTGTGGACGTGCGTATTTATCTTGCTGATGTAGATCACCCTCTGGAGGACAGGCCTCCCGCGGACTCAGTTGATAGCCCTGAGGTTGACTATGACTCGTCCGAAGAGTCCGCTCTTGACATTGACCTTGTGCAGCAGCGTATTGAAGCGACCGTCCTGAAGCGCATTGAAGAAAATAACGAAAAAGAAGCCCGGGAGAAAGCCATGTCAAAGCTCCTAGACACCGCACTTCTAAAGAAGGACTGGGACGACCGACGCGAGAAGAACGCCGAACTGGGTATCGAAGAAGACCCCCATCTCTGGGACACAGAGTCCCTTGTCCAAATGTGGGAGGCGAAGAGTTCCATCCCCGCATCACCCGATGACACCAGCATCGCCATTTCCCCACGCAATTGTACATCCCCCAAGAGCCAACAAGCCCCACCAGGCCCAGACCCCCAGCCTCAGAAGCACATGTACATGGGCAGCATGTTTGCAAGCGAAGAATCTGCCTACCAACGAGGGCTGCGCGAAATCCGGCCGTACGGTGATTACTCAGGTGAGTGGGAAGGGTTTATGATGGCGGATTCTGAAGACGACGCGAACCGCCAGGGCCTACTTGACCCGATTCATGTGCGAGGATGCTGTGCGGAGCGACGAGCCGACTTTCACCTCTACTACGGAGTAATGCATGCACCGTCGGAGGTGGAGGCAGAAAAGCGCTGGCTGGAGGATATCCGTCGGATCCCCGGCGAGGACGGGAAATTCTACGGGTTGTTGCGGGCGGATGATTTGCACCACGCCCGCGCGATGGGACTTTCGGATATCCGCCATCCATGGGGGTGTTGCAAGGACGCACACTTTACGATGCCGGAGCGCGTGCGTCATAGGTACACTGGGTTTATGAGTGCGATCTCCCTGAAGGAGGTTGGGCATATGGGCCTCTGTGATGCGGCGCCTGTTCCTGGTGAATGTGGTGATTACTATGGTGGGATGTACTATGGTTATGTCGAGGCTGACTGTGAGTTAGATGCTTTTCAGATGGGATTGAAGGAGCCTGAACATGATCGGGATTGTTGTGCGAAGGCCGAGGTTAGCGTGTCGATCTCTGAGGCGGGGCAATACACGTATTACGGCTATATGTATGCGCGTTCTGAGGAGGAGGTTGTGGATAGGGGTCTGAAGGATGTCCTGCTTGTTCCTGGATTTGAGATTAAGTATTCTGGGAATTTGCAGGCGGGATCTGAGGAGGAGGCCAAAGCCATGGGACTTTTTGAGCCTTCACGTATTAAGTGATGTGCGATTTACGGGATATCTTTCTTTTTCCTTTCCTTTAATTACTATTTCTTTTGTATATCGTGGCAGAGAATAGCTTGGACCTTTTTATTTCGGTTTATTCTACTATTGAAATTTGAGTCTCTTCCGGGTCTTATATGCTAGGCTAAATTTGGATAGTACTTCTACATATTAATCCAAGTCGACAAAGCCATTATCTTACATTCCATGTGATCCTGGTCTATTCCTCCAATAGTAGAGAATCGTCTCTAATTTGACATGGGTATGGAACAGCCTAGAATTTTGCGCGCATTAGCGGTAGCAGGGAGTTCGGAAATAATTACACCTATTATTGTAATGAGTGAACATTTCAAACGTCATACCTAAATGTGAAGTCCTGCCTTTTTAGGGCTACGATCGACTTCCTTCACGGAACACAATTCTTGGAAAATCAATAGCGTCAAAGGCTGATTCAATAGAAAAGGGGAGAGCTTCGTGCTGCCAAGAGATCTTTGATCTCGAGATTTCATATTCGACCAATCATATCCTCAGATCGATTGACAAATAGCAACTGTGGATATTCTCCATCCACCACGCGGGACCAAGACGACGATGGAGCAAACTCAAGCCATAACTGAGCAGTGATATACCTCAATCGATTGAGAGACTCCACAACATAATGTTTCCTAGCAGGACTATGGAGTGGGATGGATATTTCAGCCATTATGATCGACATCCAACCTGATTAGGGGTCCACTTGCTCGTGCAAGTTTACCCCGTGGCCCTAGTTCCATGCATGTTCTACATAAGAAGATCATGACCCGGCACTCTGGAAAAAGACCAAGCGCTACCCAACTTCACTTACATTCCTTCAGCACTTTTCAATATGGGATCCGAATACGGTGCCACGGCTCAGTCTAAGCCTCAGATTGATCTCGGCCCCGTTACCATCTGGTGGGCTGTCTGGGCATGTGTATGGACATCCGCCCTCGTGGTCGGTATGGCCTATCTGATCGCCAACCGTGATATGCCGACGCTTCGCATTCGGGGTCTCGCTCTATCCTTAACCTCTATCGTTATTCTTCATTTATACTGGCTGCCAACCCAGTTCGCCACTATGATCGGCGCTATTATGCCTGGTGACGGCGCCTATTGGCTCATGGGGACTCTGTTGCCCTGTGGCATGGCGCTCTTCCACGGCTCTAATACCAGATTTCAACATGTCGCAAAGCTCCAGAGAAAATATGCTCTGGACGGACACCGTTCTACTGAATCCCCTGCCTTGGAACACAAGGATGGGTTGATCAACCGCTTCCGTGCTCTCGGATATACAACCAAGATCCTTATTTACGTCGCCATCGCAATGTTTGCTCAGGTATGATTACCTTGCTTTTCCATATGCATGACAAGTCTTATCTAACTCGCCATCTCATGCAGGTGTTCCTCACTGTCCTCATGTGGGTGATCTCCCGCAAATACCATAGCTCATGGGGTATTCCTGGCACCGGAGTCCATGGTACCCCGGCAGAGGTACTCGCAGCACAAGGCACAGGATGGGAATGGTGGCCCGGTGTGGTCTCGCAATTCTTCTGGTCTTGGATCGTTGCCCCCGTCGTCCTCTGGCAGTCTCGCAACATCCACGATACCCACGGCTGGAGAGTCCAGACCATTGGCTGCGCTGTTTCCAACCTCCACGCTACCCCGATGTGGCTCGTCGGCCTCTACGCCCCCGCCATGGCCCCGGTCAACGCGGTCTTCGTTCCTCCTCAGTGGTAAGTTCTACACATAACCACAAAGACCTACTCCTCTAACGCAGGTATACTATAGGATCTGTCTATCCATCATGTTCATCGAAATATTCACAGTATTCCTCCCCTGCTGGGAAGTAATGCGCCACCGATCCCTCCGACAAGAAACCCTCGACTCGATCGCGCGCTGGGAATTGAAAGTCAAATCCGCCAGCTCCGAAGAAAAGTCCCTCCACTCCGACATGACAATGGTAGCATCGATGATGTCAGGCTGGAAATCGAACAGCTCCACGAGCACATTCAACTCCCGCGACAGCATCCTGACAATGGGCGCACTCGAGCACGTCCTCGAGCGCAACCCAGCTCCACTACAAGAGTTCTCCGCTCTGCGCGAATTTTCCGGCGAGAACATCGTCTTCCTGACCAGCGTTGCGGAATGGCGCAACCACCTACCCCAATGCATCAAGGATGGCAGCGCGCTCCAAGAAAAGAGCAAGCGCGATATCGTCCGCCAACACTTCAACCGTGCGCTGCACCTCTATGCAGAGTTTATCAGCGTCCGCCACGCCGAGTTCCCCGTCAACATCTCGCACCAGGAGCTGCGGAAGCTAGAAGTCGTTTTCGAGAAACCGACGCGTCTTGTGTACGGCGAGGAGCGCGACTGTGATCCCACCAGCCCCTTTGATAAATTCACTTTCGATTTGCCGTCGCCGGCTTCTGTGGACTCTGGGAAGACTATGCAAGCTGAGATGGACGGACCGATTAAAGATCGCGTGCAGTACTGGGGTGAGATCCCTGCGGACTTTAATGCTTCGATCTTTGATGATGCAGAGGCCAGTATTAAGTACCTTGTGCTTACGAACACCTGGCCTAAGTTTATTAAGGACCGCAGGATCTCGGCTGATTCGATCGAGGCTGTCAAGCTCGGAATTGAGGTTTAGATGTTTACTGTGTGTCGCATGCGAAATGAGTTTAAGTCGTTGGAATATTCGGATCGGGACTTTCGATATCCCTGATGTCTCTCCTTCTTTTTTTATTTTATATATACCTTCTTTGGCCTCGGGTACCCCTGCGCTTGTTGGGGTCTCTTGGGCTGTACATACTGGACATAATATTTTGGATACCCACACAATGTATTTATTAGTGATAATATTATCAAGACATTCTTTTAAAAACACGGAGAGACTAGAAAAGTTATAACTAGCTGTAAATAGTAGTATATACTCTTAATATATAGCTACTACTAAATTGATATACTAATATAAATAGATAGTACTTCCGGCGATCTAAGCCTTAAAATATACCTAGGGTAAGGTTACAGTCCTTTACTTTTGCTGCCAAAAGCGGCCAGATAACAGCGCGGAACAGCGCAGGTGGCCAACTATCTTTGAAACTTTCTGCACCCATCTCACATGTCGAAGGGCGGGCAGTCAACCGGTGAACTCACTGAATCGTTATGAATGAGTTGCTTTCTATGGACGCACTGTATGTACATAATACCATAGCTTAGCACGTCCCTATACCCCATGGGAGGTCATAGGAACACGGGCTTCGCCCATGCTCCGTCGGACGTTAAATAGAACAACAACAACAACAACAGTCCTTTACTTCGACTCCTACCTTAATATATAGGACCCAAAATAGCTAGGTAGTAGGTTAATAAAATATTCTAAAGTAACCTATAGAAGTATGCTCTATATAGTATACGAGGAAGGGCTACTATCTAATAACAGTAATATATATCTAGGATCGCGATCCTTACTCTTTAATAAATTCTATAACTTAGATAACGACGTATACTATAGCTTTACTAGTATCCGTGCCCGAATGATCGATAAGATTAGAATTAACGAGATTATTCGGAGAATTGTGAATACAGTCGGCGATAACTATATTTATATCAGCATTGACATCGATGTGCTCGATCCCGGTAAATACTATACACTCAATCTTGATTATCCTAAGCAACTTATACTAACCGAGAAAAGCCTTCACACCTGCGACCGGAACCATTGAACCTGGGGGTTGGACGACACGGGAGCTTCTCCGTATTTTATATAGTCTATCGCAAGCTGGCCTGCCTATTATTGGCGTGGATGTTGTAGAGTTTGCCCCTGTGTACGACAATAAGGCAGAGACGACGGTAATTACGGTGACTCAGATCATCTATGAGCTTCTTCAGTGGATGGTTCATGTTCCTGTGAAAGCATAGGCTATCGGGCGTGCGGACTCAGCACAAATGTAGAATTTGGACTAATAATTTTCATACCTCATCACTCATTCTCGGAAATTACACTACTGCTCATAAGTCTTCACCACACTGGCACTTCCCTCAGCCCCTAACCCAGACCTCTTAGCCATGAACAACACAGTCAAAGCAGCATTGCCGAGATTCAAAGGACAGTGCAGATCGCGCGCCTTCTGCACAGCCTTCTCTAGACGAGAACTAACGGCATCAATAGTCTCAGAGACACCATCGCCACCTTGTCCAGGCCCCTCAATAATCTCCAACCCCTTCGTCATAAATTGCCGGCTAGCACCAGCAGCATCACCGACAAGAGTATAAAACTGCTTCAAATCGACATTAAGATAGCGCGCAAATGAAATAGCCTCAGCAGCCGCAACGAGGTTAGTCACCTCCATCAGATCCAGCACCAGCTGCAGCGCCTCCGCCGTCTCCTCATCAGACTTGGTAGAGGTGACCTTCGTTATCGGCTCAGCGAAGTACTGCCGCACCATAGACGAGTCATCAACAGGCCCATATCCCTGTAACAAAGCAGACAAATAAACCTGCTCGGCAGTAGAGCAAAGTGGAGTCGGGAATTGATTTTGGCGCGCAGATGTCGTGATAATCCCCTGATCGAAGCTCAATTAGCCAACTTATCCCCAAAGCCCCAAAAACATCAAGATTCCTTACCACATCCTTGAGAATAATAGTCAAAGCACTAGCACCAGGATGCCAATCTTCATCCAGCATCCGCTGCAACCGATTCTCATGCATCCAGGTCCAAGCCGGACTAGACTTAATCGCCTCCGCCGTCTTCACAGCATCTAACCCCAGCCGCGCCGCAAACCCCTGAGCCTCACTAGCACCCAGGATATGAATACCCGCCAGCACCTGGTGCACCATCTTCATATTACTACCTGCGCCGATCCCGCCGGGGACAAGATACAGCTTATTCGCGTCGGACATCTCCTGCAGCAGGAAGCGGCCTTTCTCCAGCGCGGCGTCGGGTGCACCAGCCATAATCGACAGCGTACCTGCAGCAGCGCGGAGCGCACCACCAGACACGGGTGCATCGATGAAAGCTATATCGCTCCTGCCGATGGAGGCGAGCTCTGCGGCGACGGATTGGGCGTATGATGCTGGGACAGTGGAACAGAGGAGAAGGGTTGAATTTTGAGGAAGAACTGGGTTGATTATTGAGTGGGTTAGTTTTTATTTTCAAATATATATTTTTTAGTTTGGGGTTGGGTTGGTGGTTTACCTGCGACTATGCCGTCATCACTGAAAAGGACGCTCTGCACTTGCGGCGCTGAGGCTACCATGCAAACATAGAAGTCCTTTCCCTTTGCTGAGTCCTGGAGGGAAGACGCTGGGATTCCGCCTGCCGTCTTGAAGCGTTCTACCGAGGCCGGGAACACGTCGAAGCCGTGTACTGCGTAGCCCTCTTTCACGAGATGTGTGGCCATTCCGAAGCCCATGGCGCCTAGGCCAACGAAGCCGATTGAGGGTTTGGACATGGTTGTTTAGATGAGGGAATGATGTATACAATTGATAGAATAGTCCCGGAGAAATGTTAATGTATATAATATAATAAAATGGCTCGACCTGCGTGGGGGTTTATGAGGGGAAGATGTTTGGAGCGCGGGATGGTTCGGCGCAAGTCCGAGAGGTTTACCTTGGCTTTCGCCGAAATTTGATGGATTGCCAGGGTCCGATTTTGTAATTTGTATGTTGATTGATTTCCGGTTAGTAGATGCGAGTCTGGTGGTTCTTGTGCTTGTTGAAGTTGTACTTGGGAGAGGTTCGGAAGTTGGCCACCACAGGCAAAACTTCATTTTTATATTTGAAGAGCTAACCAAGGTAGCTCTCGGATTTGATTTGATAGAATGCTATTTATGCTTAACATCTAAAACAAACCTAATAAGACATTGATCTGATCTACTTTCCCCGTGCCTGAATTCTGCTGTCGAAGTTGTTAGTCTTGCTCAGGCAGTGGAAGTACTGTATATCATACAATTGCCGACAATATGGGCAATATGTACTGAAAGTCTGATTTCCTCCGGTATAATTTCCCATATTTTGCGTGTCAATGAGTGTAGGAAGTGTAGATAACACAAAATGGCGAACAGCTCAGAGTGACGTCACTCACGGAGCAACTCCGACAGTTCGGACGTGAAGCGATCAAGTCGGACAACACAACGAGACTATATAACACTACTGACTCTCGGTCTACAGTAAACCTCAACTACAAACCCCTCATTTGCCCTCACCTTCACCCCCACCCATCTCAAACCAAAAATGACTCTCCAAGAAAACCGCGCCCTGCGCATCCTAGACCATGCCTCCGCAAACCACTACGGCATCCCCGCAATGTGCTGCTACAACGTTGAAGGCATCCTTGCGACCGTCCGCGCCGCCGAAGCCAAGCGCTCCGCAGCCATGATCCTCCTCTTCCCGTGGGCCATCCACTATGCCGACGGACTACTTGTGCACGCAGCAGCCGAAGCTGCGCGCAAAGCCACGGTGCCCATAACCGTGCACATGGATCATGCGCAAACACCCGAGATAATCCGGTATGCGGCGGACCTGGGTGGGTTCGACAGCATCATGGTTGACATGTCGCACTACGAGAAGGCGGAGAATCTTTCATTGACGCACGAGCTGGTGGAGTACTGCCATGCGCGGGGGATCGCGACGGAGGCGGAGCCTGGTCGGATTGAGGGTGGTGAGGATGGGGTTGCTGATACGGCTGATCTGGAGGGTTTGCTTACGACACCGGAGGAGAGTCGGGAGTTTGTGAACACCGGGATTGATTGGCTTGCGCCTGCGTTCGGGAATGTTCATGGAGAGTATGGGCCCCGCGGTATTCAGTTGGAGTATGAGCGGTTGAAGTCTATTAATGAGGCTGTTGGTCGGGAGGTTAGGCTCGTGCTTCACGGGGCAGATCCGTTTACCGAGGAGATCTTTAAGAAGTGTATTGATTGCGGGGTTAGCAAGATCAATATCAATAAGGTATTGAATAATGAGTATGTGAGGGTGCAGGCAGAGATGGCTGGGAAGGTGCCTTTGACGACGCTGTTGGAGGAGGCGACCAATGCTATGCAGAAGGCTGTTGAGGGATGCATTGATCGGTTGGGGTCAGCGGGGAGATACCCGTCGAGTTAAAGATGTTGTCTTATTTCATGTCATAATATCATCGATCTAAGAATGTATGAAGAGCCAAAACAGATTTTATAAATTAAAGTCACTGGATATATGAATGATTGCCAAGAAAAAAAAAGAAAGAAAAGGAAAAAGAAAAGCACCAAGCCATTGACAGAGGTACTGAAGTACAAAGAAAGAAAAAAAGAAGAGTGCATAAGGCAATAGTCACATCACATTAACACTAATCTCAACGACGGAGACCGAGGCCAGCCAGGGGACCGTGAACGAGACCTCCAACAATGGGAATTCCATTGACAAGGCCGCTAAGAGGGCCAGCGGGGGCAGTTGCGCTAGGGGAGGGAGTTGCGCTAGAGGAAGGAGAAGCAGAGCTGCCCTTGGGAGTAGGGATGACGCCGTGGGATGGAGTAGGGATGGCGGTGGTAGAGGCAGCCTTGGAAATCACAGGAGCTTGCGAGGCGACAGGGGTGGCCTGAGAGAGACTTGAGGCCTGGGAGACGACAGGAGCCGGGAAGTTCTGTACTGCGTGGGTGGGCTTGGGTACCGCAGTATGGGAGGTAGATGCATGCTGAGCGGCCTCAGCGGACTGCTGCTTCTCGGCCAAAGCCTGGTGCATTGCGTCGAGGGCGGAGGGGAAGGAGTTGCCGAATCCCTCATCACTGTCTTCAATGCTGGAGGGGCCGGTTGGGTTGAAAGGGAAGCCGCCAGTGATGTCTCCGAAGTCATTGCTGGGCTTAGGAGCGGCGGGCGCGGCGATGGCGCCGACGGCGAAGAACGCCAGGGAGATGTATGAGACGTGCATTTTTGGTTAAGTGGCCTGGGTGGGTCTTCGGGAATAAATGAGAGTATAGATGGTCAGAGAAGCAAACGAAAGACTGGCTGATAGTTGTAAACAGGGTTGTAATAGCGTTTATGTAGGCGATGTATAGCTTTGGGTAAACTGTTGTTTTGTATCTTCCATGCCTCGCGCTCTCATTAATAGTGATCAACATCGCTGGGATGACGACCACATAGCAGGGAGCTATGCCTATCGGAGGGTTGCAAAGGGTTCCATGTGCCGTGTATGCTCCTGTGGAATGATCGCCTCAAGGACCTGCCCAGGAAAGAGGAAAGCTTGTCGAAGGCTGGAGATTAATCTAACGATCAACATTTTACGTAGTCAAAGCGTGCAAACCCAACGGGTGGATGACGGAGGTAATGTGACATTGTACACATAAAGCTCCCTTCAGTTCCCTCATAGATGCGAGCGAAGAATACGTAGATTAAAGCAAAGTACTGAGGGTGATAGGTTTCTAAAGTAGATTGTTGCTTATGCTCAATTTCTATCTTAGGCGGATGGTCCCGGATGATCCCTAGGAAGAACAGATTATGTTGTATACTAGTACTGTGCCAGGTATAATTCAGGGAGACGTCTACTCCGTACCCCATACACAAAAGGTGATCAAGCCCCGTCAAAACTTGGTTCAAAGGGTGATGAATGTGTAGGGGATATTCTGGCACGCAGGAGGTATCCCCTAGCAACCCCCCTTGCACCACCAGCCAATCAGTACATGATATTCCGAGCTTACTTTGCATTGGAATTGATTGGATGTACTTTCTAATTTCTGCGTTGTTGTCACATATTCCCAGGATAGCGTCAGATCTGATCTGTGTTTTTAGATCTCATATTTCATAGAGTGTTAAGTCTGTTACGTTCCATTATGAGTATGATCCCGATACTGGCTCTACTTTGATGGTCTTAATATGGGCAGAGGCTGGTTGAAATATATTGTCTACTACTCAGTTCATTTGATGTTCAGTTCACCAAACCAGGCGGATTTACA